CAAAATAATATTATCTAATGTGCTCAAACAAGACAGATCACGATATGACATGTTTAGTATTCTTTAATATTGACAACGAAACGAAATGCAAGTACTAAAATTAAGGGTTATGCTACTACAAATATATATATATAAAATAGATTGTCCGCTACGAGATTCGAACAATAATTTCGTATCCTGCTTCATAATTAATATCTAATGTTATATAATTTTTATCTCAAAAGTTTATATTTAAGGTTATTCGCACATGATTCAAATAACNAATATTCAAGCAGTAAAATAAGATCTTACATAAAGTATACAATTATTTATAAGATAAGAAAAAAACTTAAATATTTATATCTTCTATATATATATTATATTAAAAGGAAAGTAGTGAGTCATGACATTAAGCCAAGGGGCATATTCAGAAAATGTCACTTAACATTTTTAAGACATAATTTAAATAAATTTTTAGACAAATTTAATAAGGATTAAAACAACTTAGATTTGAACAAATTTAATTTATGGTAGAAATCAATTAAAATTGACTCACATTCTTATAGTAAATAAATTTTGATAGCTTTCCAAATATAATTATTCATTAACCACTTGATCTGTTTTTTCTTTCATTTCATAATTTTATTATTTTTAGAAATAGTACATAGAGAAATATAATGATAATGAAAACATTATCATTAGATATAATGTGTTCAAACAAATAAGAAATTAACTTTTATGATTAATACTAAAATGAGTGTGGTAGAAATAGATATTAAATTAAACAAGCTAATGAAAGCCACATAACAATGTAATAATATTATGTATTGAATAATAGAATAGCAAAAATAAGGAATAAATAGAGAAAAATTAATCAAATTTTTCATCATAAAGAAAATGATAAACTTATTTAAATTTGAGATGAGAAAGTTGTTATTTATCTATTATGATAAGAAATATCATATCGTGGATAATACCACACAACTTATGTCTAACAGATAAAATAAGAACTTAAAAATATTTAAAATAAATTAGAAATAGCGTGAGAATATTTATGCTAAGAATTAGTTTAGAAAATAAAATAAAGTGAAATAAAATACTTAAAAATACTATTGATAAATTTAAATAACTTAAGAATACAAGAAATATTTTTAAAATAAAATAGATATTTATTTTAAGATTAAAATATTTCTAGATTATCTATATTATATTAAAGGATAGTAATGGATATAATACTAAATAAAGTGGCACCTAAATTAAAGTCTTACTAGATATAGAATTAAAATTTAAAAATATAAAATAAATATCTAATATAAGTAATTATATTAACTAAAATTAAAAGTCAATTTTTGTATGTTGAAACAAAAAGAGATTTTTTTTATTGCATGTAATATAAAAAATAAATATAAGAAAACTTAATACATTTGGAATATAATAATCAAAGAATTTATATATTAATATTTTATACTAATCAAAGTTACAACTTAAAGTCAAATATGATATTATTTTAATTACGGGTAAAATACTAATTAAAAATTTCTTAATAGGAAAAAGACTATATAAAGAAAAAAATAGATACAATGTGTGAATATTTATACTTTAAATTAATTTAAAATAAAATAAAGTAAATAATTGAATTATTTTCAAAAATATTATTGATAGATTTAAATAGTAAAATAGTTTTGAGTAAGAGGATAAAAGAGTAAAATATATTAAATTTCAAGATTAAAAAATATATTATAATTATTAAAAGGATAATAAGCAAAATATAAAGTCAATTAGTAAGCCGAAAAAAATCGCATGAAAATATAATAATATTAAATAATAAATAATATAATAATTATAATCAAAGAACAAAAAAATTGTGTAAAATTTAAAAGAATAAAACTTATTAAAGCTTGAGATAAAAAATAAACTAATACTGAGAATTTTATTAAAATAATATAATTTAATATGTTCAAACGAGACAAATCACCACATGACATATAGTAATTTTTAATATTGATAACGAAACGAAATTCAAGTACTAAAATTAACCTATTGGATTATATAAATATAGAAAAAGAAAACAGGTTATCCACCATGAGATTTGTGAAATAGTTTCATGTCTTGCTTCTTAATTAATATCTAATGATTATCAATAAATTTTATCTGGAAGGTTTATATTTTAAAGTTATCTATACATAATTCAAATAATCCAAATCACAACCCGATATAATTTGTGTCCGCGCATCGCGCGGATACTAATACTAGTTTATTGGTTTAAAAACTGATCGTAATTGAAGTCTAACTTATTTTTTTTCTCTTCAGGCTTCGCACTTTGTGGTCTTACTATTTTCAAACTTTTAGATCATTGAATAATAATGAGACTTGCAAAGAATGTTGATTAGGTTTAAGCAAATATGGACATCATTATTCCAGGATTGAAGATGTCTCGTCTCTTAGCATGACTTTCCATCTTGTCCACCTTTCCGCTAACAAGCAGTAGGTACTAATACTATAGTCCTATTAGGACCACCTCAATGAAGATTTTGGGAACTTTAAATAGACTTAGGGTGTTTTGTATGAAAAAAAATATTTTTTCTCGAGAGGTTGCTCGGATGGTAGCACTCTCCACTTCCAATCAAGAGGTTGTGAGTTCAAGTTACCCCAAGAGCAAGGTGGGGGGTTCTTGGAAGAAAAGATGCGGATGATCTATTGGAAACAGTCTCTCTACCCTAGGACATGAGTAAGATCTGTGTACACATTATCTTCTTTAGACCCCACTTATAGAGATTATACTGAGTTATTGTTGTTGTATAGGAAAATAGAAGGTTAAATTTGAATCTTTCTTGAATTATTTTCACATGTGAAAATTATCAAGTCTATATTGAAGTTCCAACGAAATGATTGTTTTATTAATATACAATACTTTAAAGTATAACAAAATGATAAAATCATATTTCGTATGTAGTCTGAATAATATTCGTATCTTTTCTAGTTCTATCGATGTAATGTTTCAAACTCTTGTGAAGAAAATTAGTCTTGGGAGTGGCATCCTGCAGGATCCACGTGGCTAAAATAGACGCTAGCACGTCTCAATTGTGGCAATACGTGGGACTCTGATGGCAGAGCTTCGTTCAATTCTTGGCTTATATGGTATTAATTAAAGAAGAAACTTGTTCTGATGGCATTTATCAATATACCATGGAAGAAAGCAAGCACAAGGAAACAGATAAAGAGGAAATTGATGGCAAGACCAAACCCCAAGACAGTACCACAACCCAATCTGACCAAGGGAACACTGTTTTCTCAGACCTAAGAATCCAAAAACAAGTAGAAGAAGAAAACATTAAAGGTCTTCCCCATCAACAAGTTCCACAGCCAAGTGATTTCAACACACAACTACTTGAGCAACTCTGATCTTCTTACTTTTATGCATTTCTACCAAAACAAAAAAAGTTCAATGGTACTCTTAATAAAGTTACTTTTTCTACCATAAAACGTTCAATGCTATTACAATGTGCTAGTCAAATTGTTTGTTTATTCCTACAATTTTAAAATAACATTTTTATTATTATCAACAATAGATATTGTGATCTCTATAGTTTTTATTAGATTTACTTTTTCTCTTTTATAAAACTTGGACACATTATTTTTTAGCTAAAGTAAAATCACTACTCCATTAAATAGAGTGGAATTTTAGGACGGAGGCCCGCCCTACTTGAAGTTGCTCATCAATCATCATCTAATAGAACCCATACGATGCAATTAACTATTGATAAAAATAAAACCACAAATCAAAGCGTATTTATTTAAGACATAAAAACATACTAAAGGACCTAGTAAGGAGCAAAAAAGATTATTTCTCCACGCATTTCAGAAGTTTAGCAAGGGAACTAAAATATGATAAATCGACTTTTCTGCCGTGTACAATTCATTTGGCCCTGTTATTGTGGGCAGAATATCATTTTTTTCTAGGTTATCACATGATTTTATTTTTTGAAAGATCAAACTTGTTACATATATTGTTGAAAATTGAACAATTTTATGCTTTATTTAATTGTCGATTTAATGTTAGCTCGCATTTAAGGTATTTTTTCCCACTTGACCTCGAATGAAGCTTTATGATCTTGAATGAAGTTTTAAATCATAATAAAAAATGAAGGAATATTTTTCTTTTGGTAGAATTTCGACATATTAAACCTCCCTTTAGTCATAAATTTTGTCAATTTACTCCTTTCGGTCCACAATAAGTGATTTTTTATTTTTTATTTTTATAATTAAAAATAAGTAATTTTTTTAAAATCTTAAGAATGAATTAATTATTTTTCCCTACATTGCCCTTGGAGTAAATAATGTTGAAGTATGTGTTATGAGTGTTTATGTGAAGAGATAATAATATGATCAATTTCATTGCTAATTAGTGTTAAAAGATGAATTTCTTAATATATATAAAAATAATCAAAAGTTCACTTATTTTTGACCGGAGGGAGTACCTGTTGTTTATAGATTTTATCCATATTTTGACAAATTTTCAAATCCCAAATCATAAAACCAGCTCAAGAGCTGTTTTTGGTCCAAAATATTACGGTTTGGGTTTTACAAAAATTTCAAAAATTGCTCTAAACTTTTGTATTTTATAAAAACGCCCAATTTATGTTATTATGACCCAACTAATCCATATCTACCCACTTTTTCCTCGTTAAACTCAAGCGGCTTTGCCCTTCTCTATAAAAAAAGAAGAAAATCTTTTCCAAAGTTGTTGTGACAATCCACCACAAAAGATAAAATTTGAAGATATTTTGCCAAATTATGCTAATATTTATTTTTCTTGTTTCGTATGAATTTTCTTTAGATTTATTTGCTTGTTTTGTATGAATTTTTTCCAGTGTTATTGGATATTTTTGATAGTTTCTAAAATTTATAGGTATCAGTCACATTTCATAATTTAAAAAAAAAACTATTTTGAAAAATTATGTCCAAAGGTATTTTCATCTTTGACCAAACTCTAAGTGAACCCATTTCAAGACTTGGTAAATAACACGGATATTTTCATGTCCGCAGCCTTTGGAGAGTTTAAGGTTTCCGTCAGTCAACTTATCAGGCTTGATTCACTGCTACAGTTATTTCCCCTTCAAATTTTCTATAATTAAGTAATAGCGAGTGGTTAACTTATGTATTGAGATTCTTCTACTCTGTCCTGCTAGTGAATTTAGACTGAAAAAGAAAAAAAATGAAGTTGGTACCAAGAGAAATAGAGAAATTGATGCTCCATAACGCTGGATTTCTGGCTCAAAAGCGTCTTGCCCGTGCCCTACCTCTTAATTATACTGAAGCCGTTGCTCTTATTGCAACTCAGGTATCTTAATATATAATCCAAGACCCGTTTATTTTCCAGCCAAAAGAGTTGAATAAACACCACCTTGTAATATTGCTAGTGTTAATTTTACCTGTTGAGTCAACAGTTCTACTTTTGGCCTTTTGCTATTTCAAATGGAAACTTGGGTTGTTTTGTATTGCACTAAAAGGACCTGAATAGAACCGAATGATATGGCTACCCCAACCTCATATAAAGTATGCGATTTTATGTATTTGAATAAAAAATGAACCACTTTGGGATTGAGCTATAGTTGATTATCGAAAAAGGTTTAGTTTTGCTATTTTAAATAGATACTTGGATTGTTTTGTTGTTGAAAGAGAGCTGAATAGAGCAAACTACTTTGGGATTCAGCTATAGTTGCTGGTGAAAAAAAAAAGGTTACTTTTGCTCTTTCAAATTGATCTTTGGGTTGTTTTATATTAATGAAATGGACCCAAATAGAGCAGAATGATACAAGAATTCATCTAGTGTGGGGACTATATGATTCGTTCAAATATTATTTTGAGGGTAGGGGGAAGGGTGTGTGTTTGTTTTTTGTACTTATAGAAGCTTATCTGCAATCATGTCTTATGCAGCCAGATTCGTTTTGATGTATTTCATTTTTCACGATGACAAGGTATTAGAATTTGTCCGTGATGGAGATAAGAGTGTGGCCGAGCTGATGGACGTAGGGAGACAATTACTGGGAAGGTACACTGTACATGAATGGCAGATGCCATATAGTCTACTGACTTATATTAATGAGATCAATGCTACCCTTGATATGTAAAAAGGTCTGATAATAAATTGGATTACTGTTTGCAAACAGGGCATTTGCATTGCTTTCTCTATTTTCTAGAGATGTCACCAGGCTAGATAAACACTTAAAATTCCACACGTCCACGTAAGAAAGCAAACAGTGTGAATTGATCCAGGAATGCTGTTGGCAGGAAATAGAATAATTTGGGCATAGCAATATCTTATGCATTGCCATTCAGATTGTTAAGTGAGACAACTTGCATCGAAGGCTTGTTTGGGGTGTATATTTTTGGTTACCACATATGATTGCCTTCGCAACAGGAAGTAATAAATTCATGCACCTAGAAAGTGGAGGGATTGAATCAATAAATAAAGAGAGTATCATTAGAAACAGTGCATATGAATTGAGCCCCGGTGAAATTGATATGAGTTGAGCGAAGTGCCTCAAATAATGTAATTGTTTAAATGATTGCTTGATGTTGATGGAGATCAATGAGCTTACAATAAACTTTTTTGTTGTCAGGAGACAAGTTCTTCCAACTGTTCCTCATATCTTGGATACTGTTCAGGTACTACACTTTCCTCATTTTCTCTGTTTTTGCTGATTGACCTTGCCATCGTTCGTCTGCAATTCAAGGCAGCTGGTGACTATTCAGTGGTAATTTATTTTAGGTAGAGGGGACCTTTCCGGATGGAACAAAACTAATCACCATCCATGATCCTATAGCATGTGAAAATGGAAATCTGGATCTTGCTCTGCACGGTTCTTTCCTTCCTGGTAATCATGTGATGTACTGTTTTTAGCATCTTTAACTGTAATTTTTCTTTCATTGGCAAGAAACAAGATGTCACTCTTTGCTATAGAAATAAATATCTTGGAAGAGGCACATTTTCTCCATATATTGGTACAACGAAGGTTATTTGACTAAGACTTGAATTTGGTGGAAGCGTTATTTTACTTGTATGAATAAGGTCCTCTTCATTGAGGTTGATGCTTGCTGGCTCCAACCAAAACTCACACCAAGTGATCCCGATTTGGAATCACCATCCCAATATCCGTAAGCCACTTTATTTCCCTTCAGGACCCAAAAGTACCTCAAACCGAAATGTTGTCTAAAGAGCCCTTCAATGAATCTGAAACTGTTCATCCCTCTAATGCTGCATTGCAGAATCAAATAATGATATAGAAGTACTCGTGACCTATCATTGAACTGAATTTCCAAATGTCAAAGTTAAGCTGTGGATCAAGTTGCCCCTGAGTCTGTTCCTAATTCAATTTGGTGGATAGCTCTGTTGTATTCTTGGAGTTTCTATTTGCTGATTCTTTCCTCTGAATTCTTCCACCCAACATTGCTGTCTCTGCACCATAGTTTGGGAGGGGCTGGCTGACATCTGTAACAATTTTTACTGTGTAAGAATTTCCCTCTTACTGTGTCCAGGAATTTAGTGGTAGCTCTTGAGAATAGGTATCTTTCCCCTTTTAGACCCATATGATATTTTATCTAAGCATACTAGTTGTTGCTTCATTTCATGGTGCCCTTTGAAATTTCTGAGTAAGTTTTGCAATCTAGTGATTTCTCCGGTTATATCCTGAAATTTCAGGCATATATTAGCATTAACCTGTTCTGGAAGTGAAGCATATTCAATTAGGCTTGCTTTTTTTGAAAGATATTTTCCGATGGACGATAGGTACTATTGTTTGAAAGATATCATTTTGCAGTTCCTCCTCTGGACAAGTTTCCGGTGATAGAAGATAGTAAAATTCCTGGTCAGTTGTGCTTTGGAGGTGGGCTGATTGTCCTTAATCCACACAGGAAGGCGGTAATTCTGAAAGTCACTAACACGGGTGACAGACCAATTCAGGTGCTTCTTTCTGCCCTCCTTCATGCATTACTGCATTGCTCTACTCAGCCCTGTTCGCCCACTGCCAATCCCTCAATATGAATAATGAAAAGAAAAATATTATGGAAAAGAGATCAAAGAGACTAATGGGAGAGAAAAAATTGAGTTATCCTGAGTTTCTGAGTTGAACTGAAGGTATCCTACATGACTTACTTAAATATGGAAGGGAAGATAGTTTAGTTATGCTACATATGTTGCTGAAACAAGTTTCATATTGTTTGCCTTATTCAGTTTAGTTTTCTGTTTTAGGTGACTGTAAGCTGGTAGCTCCTGGATCCTTTGCCTTTCTTGTTACAAGTCTATAATGATGCTCCCCTCTTAGAGCTGTAGTACATTCAGTATCCAGATATAAATGGGATTGACTCTTGTGGATCTAATTGCTAGCATTTCCAGGTTGGGAGCCACTATCACTTCATCGAGGTCAATCCATCCTTGATTTTTGATCGAAGGAGAGCGCATTGCATGCGGTTAAATATACCTGCCGGCACAGCTACGAGGTTTGAAGTAAGACTTCTGACACTTTTAGCTTTGAAGCAACACTTTACTTCAAATCTATGCCTTGGTTTTTTCAAGGATAGGAAAAGCAACTAGCATGTTTCTTTCTTCCCGGATATCTCTTTTGGCTGTAATGTTCACTTTTTGTAATATGGTTGATAGAAGTTTATCTGGAAATTGTGGAGTTAAGTAAACCATTCTACTTGAGCTTGGTTGTGAATTGGGGTTTTCCGGAACTGGCTAGTTCATTGATTTTTGAGAAATTAAGACACTGTGGACATATTGCTTTTGCTCAGGAACACATACATGAGTTGGCGCAATTGTCATGTTTGTGATTAAGCATCTAATTAATGAATAAATGAGCTAATCTTGGCTCCACTTGTAGCAAATTTGCAGAGAAAAAGATGCTTGTAAGAATAGGATACCTACCTTTCTTAGAGTACATACTACCGGACATATGCCTATAAAGCTAGTACTCCTCTGTTCCAATTTATGTGGCGGTGTTTGACTCGGCATGGTGTTTAAGAAAGAAAGAAAGATTTTTGGATCTTGTGGTCTTAAACCTGCCATGACATTTATGTAGTTATAAAAGTATACCATTAAGGGTAAAATGGGAAATTTTAAAGCTAAATTCTTTCAAAAAATAGGATGGTGGCATTCTTTTTTGAACGGATTATTAAGGAAATAGTGCCACATGAAATGGAATAGAGGGAATATATGTTATGGCTTCATTAAATATGTCATTTGGACCTAAAAGCTCCTTGATAAAGAACATGATGAATTAACCTGATATGCCAGGATAAAGTAGATAAAAAAGGCCTCAATATTCAACTGAAAACTAGTCTGAAAATGTTGGTTTATGTTTAGTTAACAATGGCATGCTGAAAATGTTGGTTTATGTTTA